CCAAACTTCTCGTCGATGCGAGTGGCCACACATCCCCACGGCAAGGCAGGACGCTCGCGACAAAACGCGTCCACAGACTCGGCGAGGCTTCAGCCGGGTGGATAAAGGTCGCGGGGCCGACTGACTCCATTCCCACCATCTCAGGCATGGGGCCCCCCGCGTGTTAAATTTAGCAGCAGCTGGCCAAGGGATCAGGGTGCTGCTAAGATGACACCGCGGCTAGCAGCAGCAGAGGCGCACGCAAGGGTGGGGGCCTAAAGGGGGCGGTTGACTCACCCCCCTCGACGCCCCCCCCCGGACCGACCCCCCGCCCCCCCGGATCCCCCCCCCCCGGACCCCCCGAACAGCCGCAATGTCGAGACAGCCGTTGTGTGTCATAAACTACTTTTGAGATTGGCCGTCAACAACTCAGATTTCGGATGTTCCGAGTCCGAAACTTGCATCTGGGAGCGGTCCCTGACCGCCAACCACCAACAATAGCACCACCACCACCACAATTATCACTTAGACCGGCACCACAACCACGATTACCACTTAGACCGGCACCACCACCACCACCACCACGATTACCACTTAGACCGGCACCACCACCACCACGATTACCACTTAGACTGGCACCACCACCACGATTACCACTTAGACCGGCACCACCACCACCACGATTACCACTTAGACCGGCCATCACCACCGCCACCACCACAATTATCACCACCACCGCAACTACCGTCACCACGAGCAGCACCTCCATCACCGCCACTGGCTCCCGGGGAGCAAACCAGACCCCTGGCCAGATATGTATCCCGCTCGGCAGGCAGTCCCTCGCGAGCCCCACGGGAGACGGAGACGAAGAGTGGGAGATGCAAGCGGCCGCCAATGAGCGCATCGCCCCGAATCGCTCTCCTCGTCGCCGGCTTCTCGGAAGCCAGGCGGGCTTTAGCCTGCGCACTTGTAGGGAATGGGTGACCACCATCCGCATAGTTGCCTCTGCTGCGCAGGTTGTGCAGCTTCAAACAGTCGTTGAACTGCGTCTGCGCCACTCTAATTCATAAAACCGCACCGTGGTCAACTTGTGGCCAAATGCGAAAACAATTCTTGGAGCTTTCGGTAAAGTCACGTAGAATGGAAATAATAAAATAATAAAAATAAAACATAATAAAATAATTCTCACGACGTTTCGGCCACAACGCAAGCAGCCGTCCTCAGGTGGAGGGGGGAAGGCGCTTTCCCCCCCTCCATCCCAGCTTAAATAGTCGCTCCAAGCCTGGGGTGTGTCATTCAGACTCTCGACAGACCTGTTCTCCACCTGAGGACAGCTGCTTGCGTTGTGGCCGAAACATCGTGAGAATTATTTTATTATGTTTTATTTTTATTATTTTATTATTTGCATTCTACGTGACTTTACCGAAAGAACCAAGAAGATGAATCCCTGCAATCACGAAAGCTTTAAATCGAAATTATTGGAGCATTTATTTGCATTCTAGATTTGAAGCTTTCGTGACTGCACGGATTCATACTCTAAGGTTTTTTCTGTAAAGTCACGGAGGTGAAAATAAATAATAAAAATAATAATAGAAATAAATAATAAATCACGACGTTTCGGAGGCAACACAAGTCTCCGTCATCAGGTGGGACCGTCACAGCTAGATTTACTGTATCAAGTGAGGAAACATCCAAGAGACAAGCTCTTAGCTCAAGTTCAAGTTCATTTATTAGGTATAGCCCTGTGAGCCATTCGGCTCTTGAATCGGGTGCAACCGCAACAAACTAAAAACATGAACAAAAAAACATCTTAAAGTGAATATGTGACTAAGTGCAAACAGAAAATCCAAGAAAAAATACAAGTTAAGGGGGAGAGGGGGTTATTATTTTTACTATTTTTTTTTACCGACGTGACTTTACCGAAAAAACCCAAGAGTATGATTTATTTGCAGTCGGTTCTGTAATGTCCCATTCCGCGGACCGTTCTATGGCTGGCGATGCGAGGGTTCCGACTGGACTCGCGTCTCTCCTGACGAGGCACCGACGGTGCAACTGGGAACGGGCATTGACAACGCACTCCGTTTGAATGAAACCGGGAGGAACGACGCGAATGAACGACTGAACGAGTTGCGTTCACAGCGAGCCCGTTCGCATCGGCCGCGTTCGCGTGTCGTGTGGGTGATTGCGCGATCCTGGCCTGGGATCTCCGCAGCCCCCGCTGCGCCTACAGCTGCGGATCTGGAACCAATTCCGTGACTTGGGGATTGGGAATTGGAAGCCGTGGGGGGTAGCGGGGCGGGTGGGAGGGCGGGTCGAGGGTGGGGGAGTGCGGGTGAGTTGGAGGTGGTGTTGGTGAGTTGTGGGTGGTGTTGGTGAGTTGGGGGTGGTGTTGGTGAGTTGGTGAGTAGTGGGTGGTTCTGGTGGTGGGTTGGGGGTGGTGTTGGTGGGTTGGGGGTGGTGTTGGTGAGTTGGGGGTGGTGTTGGTGAGTTTCGTTTGGTGCAGGTGAGTTGGGGGGTGAGCTGAGAGCGGACGGAGAGTTTGTTCGAGTGAAGGTGGAGGGGAGTTGAGGGTTGGTGTGTGCGGCATGTGGGGAGAGGTGGGCGATGTGGGAGGAAGCTCGTGGTGGTTTGTCTCTCTTTGTTTTTGGGTGTGTGTCCGTGTACGCATGTACACAGTACCACACGTGCGATGCTGTGTGTCTACGTGCGGTGCTGTGTGTCTACGTGCGATGCTGTGTGTGTCTGTGCGTGCGATGCTGCGTGTGTGTACGTGCGATGCCGTGTGTCTACGTGCGATGCCGTGTGTGTCTGTACGTGCGATGCTGCGTGTGTGTACGTGCGATGCCGTGTGTCTACGTGCGATGCCGTGTGTCTACGTGCGGTGATGTGTGTCTACGTGCGATGCTGTGTGTCTGTACGTGCGATGCTGTGTGTGTCTACGTGCGATGATGTGTGTGTCTGTACGTGCGATGCTGTGTGTGTCTGTACGTGCGATGCTACGTGTGTCTACGTGCGATGCCGTGTGTCTACGTGCGGTGCCGCGTGTGTCTGTACGTGCGATGCTACGTGTGTCTACGTGCGATGCTACGTGTGTCTACGTGCGGTGCCGTGTGTCTACGTGCGATGCTACGTGTGTCTACGTGCGATGCCGTGTGTCTACGTGTGGTGCCGTGTGTCTACGTGCGATGCCGTGTGTCTACGTGCGGTGCCGTGTGTCTACGTGTGGTGCTGTGTGTCTACGTGTGGTGCCGTGTGTCTGTACGTGCGATGCCGTGTGTCTACGTGTGGTGCCGTGTGTCTACGTGCGGTGCCGTGTGTCTACGTGCGGTGCCGTGTGTCTACGTGTGGTGCCGTGTGTCTACGTGTGGTGCCGTGTGTCTACGTGCGGTGCCGTGTGTCTACGTGCGATGCCGTGTGTCTACGTGCGATGCTGTGTGTCTACGTGCGGTGCCGCGTGTGTCTGTACGTGCGATGCTGCGTGTGTCTACGTGCGGTGCAGTGTGTCTACGTGTGGTGATGTGTGTCTACGTGCGATGCTGTGTGTCTACGTGCGGTGCCGTGTGTCTACGTGCGATGATGTGTGTGTCTGTACGTGCGGTGCTGTGTGTCTACGTGCGATGCTGTGTGTCTGCGTGTGATGATGTGTGTCTACGTGCGATGCCGTGTGTCTACGTGCGATGATGTGTGTGTCTGTAGTGCGATGCCATGTGTCTACGTGCGGTGCCGTGTGTCTACGTGCGGTGCCGTGCGTGCGCACCTGAGTGAGATGCGAGTGATGCGTGTTGACAGCGCCTGCCACACGTTACGCACGATCATCGGAATAATCGCCGCGATTTGCGATTCGTTTCGTGCACAAATCACATTACCCCATTTGGCTGCAGAATGTGTTGCTACTTGGTGCTCAAGCCCTGGTGCTCAATCGTTTACAACAAAAAATAGAACGTTCGTAAATACTTAAAAAGCCGACGTTGTCCGTTGCTTAATTTGTGTTTCGACGATTTACCTTCTAAAAAAATCTGCCCACGTCTCGCACCCCCAGAAAGGGCATCTCGCATCTCCAGGGGGTGCAGAGGGCACCCCCAGGCTAAGAGCCACTGTCTTCGTGATTGTTATTATCATTACATCATTAATAATATATGTGTTTTCTGCCGACACATCCACCCCAGTCACCCGTTTCTCTCCGCGTCCACCCTCACCCCTCTCTATCCACCTCTCCCATGCCGCCCCCCCCGTCGCACCCCCGTTACACCCCTCCCCCAACCCACAGTCAGTTCTCTGGAGCCATCAATGAGCCCACCCACCCACCGCCACCAAATAAAGACAAAGATCCCCCAGTATAGCCTGAACAGACTTGTGGGGCAAGTGCTGTTAGCGAGCACCTATGAAGGCCAGAACGGTACATGAGGGGATGGGTGGCCAGCACCGCGCCCCGCCGCCTTTGTCTCCCCCAATAACGACGTTTTCACACCGCTCCAGATACTAATTTGAGGCTGAGTCGACCTAGGGGATGCCCAGTACCATTTCAGATAATCGTCACTGGTGTTGGCCGTGTGCGGGAAGCTAACCTGGGTCGCCAAGTTCAAAGCGCAGCGCGCCAACTACTACACTACCGCTACCCACACCCACACATACTAACGTAGACATATCCATTTAAATACAAATACAAAGATCCCCCTTATAGCCTTAACATACTGTTGGGGCAAGTGCTGTCCGCGTGCACCTATGAAGGCCTGCACAGCACACGACGGGGACGGGTGGCTAAGACCACGCCCAAGCTCCCACCTGCACACGCACAGACCCAACACAAAGACAAATATCCCTCGTATAGCCCTAACAAACTGTTGGGGCAGGTGTTGTTGTCGAGCACGCACACACACACACACGTACTCATCCACACACACAAAGCAGCCTCGCACCCCACGTGTCCACCAACAGGTATTGCGTTTGCCCGTCACGTCGCCCGGGGTTCGTAGCGCAGCGCTCAGAGTGGAACTGACTCAACGTCGTTGTGACTTCACCAGGCAAGGAAGGACCTTGCCGAGCTCCTCCTCGGGATGGGGACGGAGCGCGACGAGAAGCGCGCGACCCGCGCCTGCTGGGTGCGCGAGACGCCGTGCGGACGCTTCCTCGCCACCGCCACCACCCCCCAAGTCCTCCTCCTCCTGGCCGCCGCCGTCGCCCTGGTCGTCGTCGTCGTCGTCGTCATCGTCGTGATCGTCGCCGCGGTCGTCTCGACGCACGGCGGCGGAGACGGCGGCGCCGCGCCGACCGACGGCGCTCCCCGCCTCTTCCCTGCCGACGGTGAGCGACACCCGCGCGGCCCGGGTGGCGCTCCGCGTGAGCTCGACGCCACTCGATGTGTGTTTGTTGCTGTTGTTGTTGTTGTATATATACAATCTCTTTATATATTTAAATTGCGCTCAACTCAACGAGCGACGCGACCGGAGTTGACCCGAAGGTGATTCGACGCTAAATGTAACGCGCGGCGTTGACCCCTTGACCCCGTTGACCCCTTGAACCCCTTGACCCCTTGACCCCGTTGACCCCGTCGCGGCGTTTGACGCCACGCGACTCGGCTCTGCGTTACGCGGTGCGCTTCTTCACTCGACGATTGAAGGTGAACTCGTGTGGCGAGGTCGTCGTAGGTCAGGAAAGCGACGTTAACAGACGCGCCCGCCGCCTGGATTCCGATACATAGCCCCTACTCATAGCCCATACTCATAGCCCCATACACATAGCCCCTACTCATAGCCCATACTCATAGCCCCTACTCATAGCCCATACTCATAGCCCCATAGTCATAGCCCCATACTCATAGCCCATACTCATAGCCCCCACTCATAGCCCTACTCATAGCCCCCTACTCATAGCCCCTACTCATAGCCCCTACTCATAGCCCCTATACACATAGCCCCACACATAGCCCCTACTCATAGCCCCTACTCATAGCCCCTACTCATAGCCCCTACTCATAGCCCCTACTCATAGCCCCTGCTCATAGCCCCAACACATAGCCCATACACATAGCCCCTACTCATAGCCCCTACTCATAGCCCCTACTCATAGCCCCTACTCATAGCCCCACTCATAGCCCCCACTCATAGCCCCTACTCATAGCCCCCTACACATAGCCCCTATACACATATCCCCTACTCATAGCCCCTACTCATAGCCCCTACTCATAGCCCCCATACACAGCCCCCACACACAGCCCCACACACAGCCCCAACACAGCCCCCACACACAGCCTCCATACACACAGCCCCTACTCATAGCCAATACTCATAGCCCCAACACACAGCCCCTACTCATAGCCCCAACACACAGCCCCCACACACAGCCCCCATACACACAGCCCCTACTCATAGCTCCCTTCATAGCTCTGAAGGGGCTCTGTGTCGATGTTTGTTGTACTGCGGCTTTTGGGTTTTACGAACGCCCTGCGCTCGTGAGAACAAGTCAGACGTTGAACACACACGCCATGGACAGTGCGCTAACCACGACACTACCGCTCCCCACGACCGCGCGTGAGCCAGGTGCAAATACAAAGATCCCCCGTATAGCCTCAACGGACTGTTGGGGCAAGTTATGTTAGCGAGTAGCACCTGCGAAGACCGCACACGGCACACGAGGGGGTGTGGTGGCCAGCAACCATTCCCGACCGCCTTTGTCTCCCCCAATGACGATGTTTACACACAGCACCAGGTACTCATTTGAGGCTGAGTCGACCTAGGGGGAGGCTCAGGAGCGTTTCAGATAATCGTCACTGTCAGCGGGATTCGAACTCCTGTGGCCGGGTTCGTAGGCGCAGCAGCGCAGCGCTAACCGCTCCGCCACCGCTCCCCACAGGCCCAGGTGCACGCACGCACCGACACACACACACGCGACTCAACATTATTCTGACCCAGCGAGCAACGGGAGCTCTCTCACCATCTCACCAGCCGCTCATCCGACCAGACGGTGGAGCCCCCGCTCTGGCAAAAAAATAAAAATAAAGATGAGAGCTCAGCGTGTCCCCACGTGGCTCCTGCACGACCACGTCGCTCACTTTCTCAACGACTCACGTGCTCAGTCAATCGCCGCTTCGTAATTAGACACGAGGACCGCCGCCACCTCGGCAGTGGCGTGGTAGCCACGTCATCAGCTCAGGGGGAGCGGCAGTCGCTCAGGTGGGACCCCAATATCGTTGCAAACAAATCTCATGGTCAAGGGACCCCCCCCCCAACTCGTAGCTTTGGCCACCAAGGGGAGGGGGGCGGGGGGCAAGGCAACCCCTGCCCCCCACGCTCGTTACGCTACTGCCAACGAGGGCTTGCGAGGCCATGTAGGAATGTGGTCACGCGTGGCAAGACTTGGCCAGGTCACGCCGCTGTTGAGTTGTCACCACCCCCACCCCCAGGAGCCACGTATGTAGCGTGGCTCTGGACTTTCTCCCTGGGGTTTCCGATCGTTTTCTTCCTTCCTCCTCGCGAAAGAATCCGATGAAATACAATTTTGAAAAAGGACTCAACGACGTCGTTAAGGGGACGTGAGCCAAACATCTGGACGCGCGTCCCTCGCGCTGGAAACGAAAGAGTCGTGAGAGTCGGCGAGGCCCTGCCGCGTAGACACGACGAGAATTCAATGTCGCGACTGTTGCAGCTGTGATCTAACCCCCCCCCCCAAACCCCCCCCCAAACCCCCCCCCCCTCCTCTATTATGGATGAAATTGGTCGCGAAAGCCTGCGTGTTAAACTGCCCTTTTTGGCGAAACGAAAAAAACGAAACGAAAAAAGTCCACGGGCACAGGTCACGGTGCCCACGTTGAGCGAGCGAGGCAGGTCGGGGTAGTGGGATGGAGGCAGGGAGGAGGGGGGGGGGCGAGGGAGAGATGGGTGGGTGGGTGGGTGAGTGGGGGTGAGTGTTCGGGGGGGTGAGTGTTTGGGGGTTGAGTGTTTTGGGGTTGAGTGTTTTGGGGGGTGAGTGTTTGGGGGGTGAGTGTTTGGGGGGTGAGTGTTTGGGGGGTGAGTGTTTGGGGGGTGAGTATTTGAGGGGTGAGTGTTTGGGGGGTACGAAGGAGGCAATGGTTATTGTAATGGTCCTGTTGGCATGCGGGCGGGTGTAAGGGTGAGTATTTGGGAGGTGTAGAAGGAAGTAATTTTGTGTTGTGTTGGTGCCACTGCGCGAGCGTGGGAGCTGGTGTGAGTCCGTGACATCTTTCTCGGGGAGCATCCTGCCCTCACCCTCGCATGGACCGCCCGTGGCGGCTGCACGACCCCTCGCGGAATGAAACGCCCTCGGAATGAAACGCATGTCTCGATCAACCGCGGCCTCGCGTGAACTCAAGTCCCCGCGCAGGCGTGCGGGGTCTCACGGCACAAAGGGGAACGCCGGGCCGCGTCCGCCGCATTTGCGTGCCGAAGCGTGCTTCTTTCCAGGCACTGCGCATTTTTCAATCGCTGGGTGTCAACGATGCATCGGTTGATATCGATTGCCTTGGCGGTGCTGCGGTGGTGCAGTGGTGAGTGCGCTGCGTTCTTAAACCCGACGGCCTGATTTCAGTGGCGAGCGATATCTTAAACAAACGCGCACCGACCGGCGTGGTGAAGTATGGTCGAATAAAACCCCAATTTCCGACACAGCCTGGGTGAGATTTCATAGTTCTGGGAACTAATTGTAACGCTGACCCACATCGATACGTGACATCAAATGGTAACGCAGTCGGACGGGAACGCAGCTCAGCGCTGTGCGGTGTCGTCTCTGCGCCGAGCGCTGGCGGGGATCGCGCGTGGAGGAGTCGGCGACCCCCGGGGGAGGCGACGCAGCATGAACCCGGCATGAACCCGGCATGAACTACGGCATGAACTACGGCATGAACCCCGGCTCCTCCAGCAGCCACGGAAGATCGGCGCCCGCCCGCCTCCCTCCGTTTATTTTTCCATCTTCGTTCTCTGTCTTCTATCATCGCCGTTGCCTCCAGAGAGCCACGTGTTTCCTTCTTAACGAGGCGTCGTGCGTCGTTCACGATGCCCTTCCCCCTCCACCTCCGCATGAAGGAAGTTCCCAAAAACCATCACCGCCCAACTCCTCCTCTCCCGCTATGTCGATCTTCTGCTGCCCGACTCCTGCTTCTTCATCAATTAACTCGTGGCCACATTGTGAGCATGAAGTTCGCTGTCAGATGTCAACTCTTCCTTGAAGCCACTGTTGTTGACGATCGAGTGGCGAGTAACTCCTTCCTGCATCGCCGCACCAGCTCTCCATCGCATCCATCCACCCTCCTTTTCCTCCACCCACCTCCCGGTTCAAGTTTGAGTGAACCGCTCTCCGTCTTACCCATCCTCTCGGCACCCGCCCTTCCCGCCCAACTCCTTCCCGTGCAACTCCTCTCCAACCCCGCAGCCCACGACGCCTCCGATGGAGGCGTCTCGACCCGGGGACACGCGCAGCGGCCGCGGCTTCTTGGCGAAGGCCGCGCGAGGTCACGACGCGGGGCAGGGGACGAAGACGAAGGCGACGCGTCGCGAGACTCTTGGTGGAGGAATTCCTCCACGGCGCTCGCCGCCAGGGTCGAGAGGTCGGCTCCCGTCGCCTCGTGGACGGGGAGGCGAACGGCGCGGGTGGAATTCGCCGGCGGAAGAGGTGGAACCGGCGGCGGTGGAGACGGAAGGTTGTTGAGAAGAGGAGGAGGAGGAGTGGTAGGAGGAGCAGGATGGGGACACGTCGATGGTGCTTTAGGAGGATACAGAATACGATTGGCAGGAAGAGTGAGTAGTGGACGAGTAGGTCTAAACTCAAGAGGAAGAGTGGGAGATGTGGTTCGTGGAGGGGGAGGAGAACGCGCGGTGGTCGTGGTCGTGAGAGGAGCAGGAGGAGAGTTGGGACGCGGAGTGGCTTACGGAGGTCGAGAAGAACGCAACGAGGAAAGAGTACGAGCAGGCTCAGCGGCCCCTGCAGGAGGAGTTTCTGGCGGAGGAGGAAGCCACGCAGACGGCAAACTTGGAGTGGCTGCACGAGTCATCTCGGCGGGTGGTCGATCCACGAGTGATGGACGAGAAGGCAGAGGAGGTGTGGGTGGAGGCGTGGGCGTTGCAAGAAGAGTGATCTCTGCTGGAGGAATAGATACGAATGGTGGAGGAGTTGCCGATGGAGGACGAGGAGTCGGAAACGTGGGTGGAGGATTAGGAGGAGGCGGTGGAAATGTGGGAGGGCGAGTGATCATCGCAGGGAGAGTGAGCGGCGGAGTGAGAGTGGGCGGTGGAATGGTGGAGTCGAGGGTGATCGCTGCAAAGAGGGTAGGAGGAGGAGGCGTGGTGGCTGTC